GGGGCCGCTCTCCTCCCCGGCTCCCCGCGGCCGCTCCCCGCTCTGCCTGCGGGGTCCCCGCGCCCAGGGCAGGCTCTGCCTGACCCGCCATCGCTGCCGGCCGCTTCAGCCGCCCAGTCTAGACAGACAGCGGTCGGCGGGCCTGGGTCTTTCTCTTTGCATCTAAGCTCTGCGTCACTCAAGGAACAATTTATTGGTCTAAAGCTGTCTAATTCCTCCTCTTTGATCTCCTGGCCCTCTCCTTGTTTGTTTCATCTCCCTTTAACTTTCTTAGGTTTTTATTTCCTGCCAGAAATGGACGCTATTTGGAATATTTGTTTGGGTTTTTTTTTTTTCTTCCCTTCCTGACTGATCCCCACCATTCCCCAAGCAAGACAGCTAGCATCCTGCCCCGCCATAAAAGGTATCCCGGATATTGCCCCACCGAGGCTCCTGTACCTCCAGGGGACGCCACCCTGGCCCCACCTGCGCCTACAGCCCCCACCTCCCCAGACACACCCTGGGCCATCCACTAGGCCGGAGCTGGGGCTCCGCTGCATGCGGGTCTGAACCCTCCCGTCGCCCTTTGTGCTCCTAGGACCCCCTGAGAGGGTGCGGTGAACGGGGGGCGGCCTGGACCCTCTGAAAGTGATGGGAAGCGCTTTGTACGAGAAGAACCAAACTCTATAATTTAGAGGAGAATTTCCGGGGCAATTCCATTGTGAGGTCGGGTTTATGGTGTGCAATCGAGCTGAGCAGTAAAAGGCATACTGACCTGGCCACCAGGCTTCCAGCTCGGCCTGGGCAGTTTATGAGGCGTTTAGGGGAAGGCTTCTCCCCACCACCCTCAAAGGAGCAGTGAGCGGAGGGGGCTTTGGCTGTTCCAACCCTGCCCAGGGGTTGCAGGTTTGGGAAGGTAAGCTCCAGGAGCTGGGGGCTTGGATGGGAGGGAGTGTGACTACTGTGTGCTCCACTCTCCGTGAGCTGATCTTTCGAAAGATGAAGCTGCCAGTGCTGGGTGGGCTTTGGGGAGGTGTCTCCCTATTTGTCTTGGGGGGGGGTGTCTCCGAAAGAAAAGGAGACCCAGAGGGGGCTGCAGTTCCTAGGTGCCTGGGCCTCCCTCTCTCCTCTCCAAACTGGCTCTAAAGCAATTATTGCTCCCAGGCACTCAAGCCCATGAGGAGCTGTGGAGGCCCAAGGGTGGCCACAGGGAAGGCTACCGGAAACCTCGGGGTACACGTGGTACCTGGAAAGGTGCAGGGCCTGAGGTTCCTCCAAGCTGGGGGAGACTTGGTTCCCCTTCAGCCAGGGAGAATCCAAGGTTGCTGGGACGACAAAAATGTTCAACCATTTCTCTGGCTGTCAGAGGCCAGGCAGGTGCCCGGGAGGGAAAACCCAGAGCCTGAGGGGCCAGCAGTGTCCAGGAGGAGGGAGGGGAATCCCACGTTAGTAAATCTTTTGGCAAATGAGGCTCATTAATAGATAAATATTTCACTGCTTCCTTTAGGCGGATAAACAGTGCGCCCCTGATTAAGGAAAGGAAGCTGGGAGACCTTGACTTTATTCAAACCACATGGTTTCCAGTTTGCTGCTGCGTTCTCGCTGCAGCTGGAAGCGACGCTGCGCCGGCCCCATCTGAACCCGAGGCTAAGCCAGCCTGTTGCCCGCTGGACCTGGGCCGGAGGAGACACAGGCAGAGAGAGTCGATTTACCCAGAGCAGAGACTTGCCCATCGGGTCACTTCGGGGCGCGCGGGGCGCAGAGACCCTCCCTGGGCTGGGTCAGTGGGCAGAAGAGGGGCGGAGAGGACCCGAAGGCTTGGTCCAGGGTTCTGTAGTGGACAAGAGCGGGTTGCGCCCTGTCGGCCCCGCGCAGCCTCTGCGGGCCAGGCGTCCAGGTTGGCGGCGGGCTGAGCGCTCCCGCGGGGCCCGGGTCTTTTCCCGCCGGACGTGCCCGGCCGGCTGCACGCGGGCAGACCCTCCGGCCACACGCCGGAGCCTTTCCCCTTCCATTCTAGGCTGCCGCGGGCCCCGCGGAGCAAGACCACCTGTGAGGGCTGCTGAGATTGGCGGAGGCGGTCATGTGGGCGGTCACGTGCTGCGGCGAGCTCCGTCCAAAAGAAAATGGGGTTTGGTGTAAATCTGGGGGTGTAATGTTATCATATATCACGCTACCTCGTAAAACCGACACTGAAAGCTGCCGGACAACAAATCACAGGTCAAAATTATGAGTTCTTCGTATTATGTGAACGCGCTTTTTAGCAAATATACGGCGGGGGCTTCTCTGTTCCAAAATGCCGAGCCTACTTCTTGCTCCTTTGCGCCCAACTCGCAGAGAAGCGGCTACGGGGCGGGCGCCGGCGCCTTCGCCTCCACCGTGCCGGGCTTGTACAATGTCAACAGCCCCCTGTATCAGAGCCCCTTCGCGTCCGGCTACGGCCTGGGCGCCGACGCCTACGGCAACCTGCCCTGCGCCTCCTACGACCAAAACATCCCCGGGCTCTGCAGTGACCTCGCCAAAGGCGCCTGCGACAAGGTGGAAGAAGGCGCGCTGCACGGTCCGGCCGAGGCCAATTTCCGCATCTATCCCTGGATGCGGTCTTCAGGTAGGCGCAGCG